TGTGGGAGAGCATGTAGAAATCTCACTTTTAGCCTACATCATTTAAGTGTTTAATGATAAATATTTTAAGAGAAACCAAAGCTATAACTGGAAAATTAATTAGAGACTATAAAGGGACTTTTAGAAGTTTGAGATGGAAGGTAATGCATAATTCACATTGATGTTATTTTTAAAGAGGCTATATTCAGTATGGGAGGATCTGCTTTCAAATCTCAGCCCCACGTTGACTCTGTGACCTTGGGCAAGTCACACCGCTTCTCAGCTCATAGCAGTCACTCTGGAAAGATGACTGGTACTCCCCGATGTATGTGCCCGGGGCCAAGGATACAGAAGCGTATAGGGAGCGCTTGTGTCCTTGATGGGCTGCCGGCAATTAAACCTGCCGCACAAAAGGTTGGAGCAAGCATTAAGACGCATGATAGGCGTGAATGTGCACACAACTGTCAAAGACTATGTAAATATCAGCCAGTAATAATACAGGTTTTGTTAACATTAATCACAGGTATCCTGAATGGAGTATAAGGAAAATGTGTGGATGGTTGGCCTTGTTTGCAGATTCTGCATCTGTGGATTCAACCAACCAACCTCACGTTGAAAATATTAAAATAAAAATTCCAGAAAGTTCCCAAAACCAGAACTTGAATTTGCTGCACACCAGCAACTATTTACATAGCATTTACATTTTGTTAGGAATTATAAGCCACCTGGAGATGGTTTAAAGTACACAGGAGGTTGTGTGTAGGGTATATGCAAATGCTGTGTCATTTTATGTAAGGGATTTGAGGGACTGCAGGTTTTGGTATCTGGGAAGGTCCTGGAGCTAATTCCCCGCAGATACCGAGGGATGATTGTATATGGAAAACCCTTTATAACCCAGACAGTGACTGAATACATTCACTGTGGCTCCAATCTCCGCAGCAGAGGGAAGAGCCCATGCTGGGATTAGGTTCTGCTGCATTCGATGGAACTCCTCGTTTAACAGTGGCTTAACCAAGAGGGATGTTTGTCTTCCTCCAAGGTCAGTACAGTCTGGAGGAAGGCAGTGCAGGCTTGCTCTGGTGGCTGCACAGAGTGGCTAGGGCCCCAGACTCCTTGCTTTCTGCTGCCTCACCTCCAGGCAGTGACCCTCAGCCTCATGGTAAGAGGACAGCTAGACTTCCAAGCATCCACTCATGTTCTAGGCAGTAGGATGTAGGAAGGAAGGAAGAGAGGAGGCTGGTTATGAGGATGCAGCCAGCTGTCTCTCTGTCTTGCAGAGAAGACTCCCGCCAGGCCCTTCCTGCAGACTTCATCCTGTGTATCCTGTCTGCATATCTGGCATCTCCACCCACCCTGCTGCTTAACCTGGGGATCATCAGTCCTATCTCTCACCCCCACAGCCAATTCATCTCTGTCAGGCAAGCTGCTTTCACCTGCAAGTGACAGAAAGTCCAGCTGCATTGGACCTAAGCAGACAGGGATTTTGCAGGCTCATGTAAATGAAGACTCCGGCAGGACAGGCTTAAGCAGGCTTGATCTGGGGCTCAGATGACATCCCCAGGACCAGGATTCCTTCTCTATTGACAGATCTCTTCCCCAGCCTTCTCCATGTGAGCTCTTTCTTCATCCTTCCCAGCCCGTGGCTCCAGTTGGCTGCAGCAGCAGCTCCAGACCTCAGTCCCCACACATCCAAGACTGATCAGGAGACCAAGTCTCTTGCTCAGAAAATTCAAAGCCATTTTCTCGGACTTGATTGAATCACCAGTCACTGTGGCCCAGGGGGATGAGATTCAATGGCTGGTTGAGGCCTGGGTCATGGTTGGTGCCCCACTCAACCATATTAACTGGGAATAGGCAAGGGTTGTGTCCCCAGGAGACCGGGAGTGCAGTAAATGGGTGCCGGGCAGCCAGGAAGCAACAAAGCGGTGCTGTTCACTGCTCAAGGCTTGACGAGTCCACCTCCTTTTAGTCTCTGTCTAGGCTGGTGTCCTGCCGTGTGCTTGGCTCGGGAGCGCCGCAGACCCCCCTCCCCTCTCCTGCCCACCTTCCACAAGGGTTCTTTCTGAACGCAGGTAGCCCTTGCTCTCTCTCCTAGTTTAAACCCCTCTAACAGTTCCTGTTGTCTACAGCGTAATCTAGACAAGTGGTCAGCAAGTATAGCCCACAGGCCAATCCAGTTTACCACCTGTTTCTGTATGGCCAATGAGCTAGCAATGGTTTTGACAGTCTTCAACAGTCGAGAAAAAAATAATCAGAAGATGAGTAATATTTCATGACATGAAAATTATATGAAGTTCAAACCCATACTCCTTTCTGTCTCCACTGTGAGCTGCACATGCTTCTTTCATGGCTCTCAAAAAAAAAATCTGTAACATTTGTATGTTTCCAACACATCACTGTCTCTACTAACTACTAAGGAAGTCTCAAAGAATATTCAAGTAAGGACATCTAATCAACCCCTACGGTGCTTTAAGCAACGTGCTAGGCATGGAGACAGGTCTTGGACCAGAACTTTATCTCCCATCCCCAGCACCTGGGTCTCTCTTTGGAACATAGTGGGTGCAGAATAAATGTTGAACAAATTAGCAGGAGCCCAGGGTCTTGGAAGCGTTTAAGGGCAGTGAGCAGCTTCCCGGGAAGCCCCGCAGTCAGCTCTGAGACCTCTCAGTGGTTCTCTTGCTGGCTGCTTTGGTGAGCACGGGCTGGGGAGGGAGGCCGAGAGGGAGGCCGGGAGGGAGGCTGGTGTCTCAGGTCCTGACTCCCTCCAGCCTTTGAGACCCTTGTTGCTGCCACTGCTCCCTCTGCAGCTGTGGTAACAATGAAGGAAACTGAATGGCTCACAAAAGCAACAGGAGAGGACTTCGCTGATATAAAGGGGCCTAGGAACGTGAAATAATAACGCTGGCGCAGTGAAAGGTGTGGTGCAGATGATGGACATGCGTTCAGCAGGACCAGTGGTGCTTCGGTTGCGAACTTCAGCCTTCCCAACTCCTGAATTCGTTATTTGCCTTGAAGCCTGTTTTTCCACTTTGGGTGTCCCCCTCACTCCTCTTCTCCCTCGTCCCCTCCAGATGCTCAACCTGTTCGTGGCCGTCATCATGGACAACTTCGAGTACCTGACTCGGGACTCGTCCATCCTGGGGCCTCACCACCTGGACGAGTTTGTCCGTGTCTGGGCGGAGTACGACAGAGCCGCGTGGTGCGTAGGCCACACGGCCACCCCGCTGGGGCCCGTCCCCGGGGCCTCTGGAGCTCTCAAGGAGGAGGCTGGAACTGGAGCCACCCAGCGCTTGCCTGTCACAGAAGGAGAGGACCTTCCTCTTGGCTGTGGCCCATGGAAGAGGCTTGATCCTCAGACACTTCTGGGATCAAACTATCAGTTATCAGCTGCCTAAGTTCCCTGTCTTCCTTCCTCCCCACTTTCCTTCTGTGACAGGCTTTTCCCTTCCTTTGCCAATCTTAGCACACAGTCCTCACCTCAGAGCATTTGAGTTCAGTCCCTGGAGGAGCTTCCAAAATCGTTAGTGGACTCCTCTGAGTCACCGGGGGGTTGACGGGGTTTCTGGGCCGGCTGGACATCCAGCCACCATGGGCAGTGACACCACTCTTTTATGTCTTTCATCCCTCTCAAACGGTACACTGCCAGGTGACTCTGAAATTCTATAAAATAATCGAGTTTCTCTTCCACCTGACCCCTGAAACACTTGTAGACTTTTGTGGCGTGGCACTGAGGAAGTGGCAGGAATCTGGGGATGACCTCGCCCAGGTCCTTTTCACTTTGCAGTAGTTCTCCAGTGACCATGTGCCTTCTGGACTTTAGAGCAGAGGCTGGCAAACTATAACCCGTGGGCTAACTGTGGCCCACTGTATTTTTGCAAATAAAGGTTTATTGGAACACAGCCATGCTTATTTATGTATTGTCTGCAGCTGCTTTCACACTGCAAGGCAGTTACATAGTCGTGACAAAGGCGATCTGGCCCTCCAGTTCAAAAATATTACCATCTGACCCTTTACTGAAGAAGTTTGCCGGTCCCTGCTTTAGAGTTCAAGGGCAGGCTTTTGGCCCTCACTGTTGAAGGTGGGGTGGGAGTCCTATGACCCTCACTCCACAGGAACTGTCCAGTCCCAAGGCATCTGAGTTTCAGGATCTTATCTCAGCAATCTATCCATTCTGGTCCCCCTCTGAAAATACTACCAGAAATGCCATCCTTCACAGGAATGGACCACGTTGCTTCCACCTGGAGCCACTTCATAATCTAAGACCCTCTCCCAAATCTGTCCTCCTATGAGGCTGTTGAACTTGGGTCACTGCTTCAGATGCTGGAAGAGTGAGTGAGAGTTCCTCTTCCTCTCAGTAATTATTAATGACCTAGAGCACAGGGTTTTGTAAATCCATTCCTGTTACAATGGCTGAGCAATGGCTGTTACTTTCTGGGCCTAATTTCTAGTCGGATAGGCTGCTTAAACTGCGGTGGGCAGCGTGTTACAGGGGAGGGCAGCCAGCCTGCTCTTCATCAACTCTGTGGCCTTGGGCAAGTCACCTTACCACCCAGAGCTTCCTCATCGGTGTAATAGTGGCAATGATCCCACCTACCTTGTGAGGTGTATGTTAAATTATATATGTAACTGTTGTTATAATTAACAGTCACCATATGGGAAAGCAAGTAGAAAGCATGGAAAATTAGCATCTGTAAAGCTGGATGGCCATGGGATCAAGAGACCAAAAAGGGGCCTCCTCACTCACCTGAGGGAGGAGAAACCAGCAGCTAGCCAAGGGGTTCGCTGCTCACCTAGCCTCACGCCGGTGCCCTTGGCTCTCAGAAACCCCAGCTTCCTATGGCTCCATAGTATTTTGGGGCCCAAATGCTGCTCCCCAGTGTTTCCATCGGCTGGGAAGAAATGATTCCACGGGGTCTAATCGTAAGACTCGGACACACGAGCTGTAAAAGAGCAAGAACACCAAGGAGCACCTCTTGTGTCTGCTTCGAAGTTCGCAGTGTAACTCGCCCTGGTTACCATCTCCCTGGCCTTCTCTATGAGATGAGACGGGAAACCAGCAAAGGACCAGTGAGCCAGCGTCTTCAGAAAGGAGAATGAGGCAGGTTGCAGAGCACACCGGCCCACAGACAGCAGTGCCAACTCACCCACATCCCAGCTGCGATAAGGAACAAAAGAACACGTGGTTAAAGGAACCTCCTCTCAAGAGTCAGGAGACCTGGGAGTACTGGCGAGCCGCTGTTTGGAAGAAAAGGAAGAATCAACAGCAAAATCAAGAAAAGGAGGAAGAATGAAGCTGGGGTGAAACTGCAGTCTCGACGCGGCTGGTGAGGGTTGGATGCTTGCAGGTGGAGGTGCCTGCTTGTAATTTCCGGCGGAGGCCCTGGTGGGTACCAGGATGTGTCTAGACCTGCAGACCCCTGGCCGTTGTGATTTGGCCCCTGATGGAGCAGATGTGGTAACCACTGAAAATGAATCAACTGTTGATTCTGTCCTGCCAGGATTCTCCAGCAGGCTCTGTGAAAGGGGGTTGATAAGATAGGTCACGTTGTTCCTGGAATTCTGACTGGATCTGACCGGCTGCCTATGGGCCGGGTGGCTGGAGCAAGGCTTGGGGGAGAACGTGGCGGCCCCCTCTCAGGCTGCTGTCAGAGCACAGATCCCAACGGGCTCCACCAAATAGAGAAGAGTTTGTCCAAGCGGGACTCGGGGAAAATCTGCCACAAAGAGAAACAAAGCCCTTTGCAAATCACTTCATGCCAGCTGTGCCCCCTGCTAATTAGCCTAACAGGAAATTTCCCTCTGGTCGTCTGTAGGAAGACGCTGACTTCCCACTTCCCTGACGAGCGGGTCTGAGTAACTGACTGTATTCAGTGTCTGTGAAAAGCAAAGTGTTCTGCAGTCTGCTTCACGGCATCCTGGTGTCTACTGCTGACTGCAGTCAGAGGCATTTGTGAACTGGTGGGCTTTGTTCTTTGAAGTCTAGCTTGAGCCAGGCTCCATTTTCTGCATCTGGCCAGGTATGGGCCAGACAGGTGCTCATGGTCACTAGGCATGGAACGGGCTCTGATTTCCTTAGAGAATTAGAGGCAGTGCAGTTTGCAAAATGATGGTTCTGATGCTTACTGTCCTCTGCCTCTCCTGGCCTGGCTTTGCTGGGCCCAAGGAAAGAAGCTGCCCTTTCTCTTCCAGCTGTCCCCGTCGTGGCTAAGCTGTCATTTCTCTCCTACCCTTCTGTGAGTGTCCTATTAACCCACCTGTGCTTCCTTTACAGCGGCAGGATCCCGTATAAGGATATGTACAAATTAGTGCGGGTGATCTCGCCGCCTCTGGGCCTGGGAGAGAACTGCCCCTACAGGGTGGCTTGCAAGGTTTGCCTCCGGTCCCCAGCCGTGACCGTGACCATGACCGGCGGTGGGGTGCAGCCTCCAGCCCCCCTCCTCTCCGTTCTGCTCCACCACCACTGCGCCACATGAGGGAACCTTCATGTTGCTTTCCTTTGAGTTTAAAGAGATCCAGACCCTCCCAGAACCAGCAGCTGTTACACAAGGAAGAAGGGCCCCCTTTTCTGGGGAAGGCAGGAAAAAATGAGTCAAGGACTTAATAACAAAGGCTGATTTCACCTCTCTCGGTTTACTTCACCTGCACACACTCATTCGTGAACACACACTCTCTTTCTCACTCCACCTTAATCTGTGGACTTAACTCAAGGGACCTCTCCCTCCTCCAGAAAAATGCAGAAGTCTTGTTAATCCAGCAGAAAGTTCTGGTTTCTTTTCACTGGCGACAGAGCGCTTCTTTTTAGGAAAATTGTATGCTCATCCCATATATGATGTAGAAAAGTCTGATTCTAGCCACCCTGGCCTCTACCCCCACCCCCAGCTCCCGGGTAGCTTGGCCACAAGCAATTATAAAAGCTGTAGGACAGAAAGGAGGTGAAAAACAGTTTCAAAATGAGAGCAAGAGATGAGGATAAGTAAAGAACACACAGAGGACAGAGCTGGTGTTGTGGGGGAGGATTTAGTAGCTCAGAGGATCTGGGAAGGTCGCATGGATGGCGGGGTCTCTGGACCAGATTCCTTGCCTGAGGGTCCTTGTGTATATTGTTGAGGGGGCCAAGGGGTAACTGCTGAGTCACTGCTTATTTGTGGGACCAAGGACATTGTTCAGGGCACACAGGACCTCCCTCTCCAACTCTGCCAGACCTTGGGGACTCTTAACCCAGTGGCTCCACCAAGCCCCTGTCCGAGGCCACACCCACCAGATAAGGAAGCCTGTCCAGGCGCACAGGAGGGAAGCGGGGCTCCCTGGGGCCGGAATAAGACTTAGGCCCAGGAAACTGCCAGCCAGGGCGATGGAAAGGAGCTGGCCTGGGGTGGTGACAAGTGATTCCCATACTCGGGAGGCCAAACAGCTGCCTCTGCTAAGACTCTTTAAACTCCACCCTGGTGAAGCCGGCAGCCGCATGGGGGAGAGCCGGGGAGGGCAGCATGGCATGCGAGATGCTCTTCCTCCTCCTGGTTTTGTTTCTTCTGTCCCTGGCATGCCTGCCGTGGCCCCGGGGCATGCCGGGGCACACAGAGCCCTCTCCTCCGCAGAGCCAGGTGGAAGCAACGGGCCGACTCTGAGCAGCAGCCACAGCCGCCACTTGCAGCGCCAGCCGCCGCCTCCGGCTGCACTCAGCACAGAGGGGGATACACGGTGCTCCGCCTGTGGGTCAGAGCAGGAGACAGGCCTGACTTCCAGGCCAGGGCCCACCCCAGCCGGGGCCAGAAATCCAAGCCCACGGCTGGAGCGCCGTCTATCCGGTTTATACCGCCCGCACACAGCCCTGGGAATTGAAGATAAGCTTGTGTGGTGTGGGGGACGGATGGCGCCCACAGGAAAGTAGGGTGATGCTAACCCAGGAGGAGAAAACCAGTCCCTGTGACAGCTCACAGGAGAGTCGGTGGGACCAGAGGTGGCCGCCACGTTCGTTCCCGGGTCTGTGTGGGGCGTGATATAAATCCGCACCAGGATGGAGACACGTGTACGATTTTGCCTTGATTAACAGGTTTCCTATTCTTTTCCTGTTTGTCCTTTTTGTTTTTCTTTCCCTGTTTTCTGTATTCTTTTGTTTGTTTGTTTTGGCTCCGTGGGAATGCCTGTTCTCCTGCCCCCTCCCCGTCTGCATCTTTTCCCTGCCACCCCGCCCCGCTCCCACCCCACTGACCTCCCCGCCATGAGCAGTGGCCGCATCCATTACACTGAGATGTATGAAATGCTGACTCTCATGTCACCACCGCTAGGCCTCGGCAAGAGATGTCCCTCCAAGGTGGCATATAAGGTAGACCACCCCTTCCTTGGTTCTGGGCTAGAGACCAGCAGGAAATGGGATCCCACTGCGGGGAGGCCAGAATGTGGGGAGGAAGCTGGGCTGGGGAGGCGGAGGAGGGGGACCAACGGCAAAAGAAATTAGATGAGAGGGTCAGGAAGGTCTTCTGAAAGGATAAAGTCCTGAATCGATACACGAGGTGGTTTGTGATACTATTCAACGTGAGGTTTTAAAATATGTTATTCTGTGTTTAAATGTGTGGTTTCTCGTGAGTGGATCACTAGAAAGATGGGTTAAGTAGCACATTTCCTTTCAGAGGAGGCAGAGTGGTGGCCGGCTGGACAGTACATATGGGCAAGAAGGAGGCCCTACAGCAAGACAGCTCTCAGAGCTTATTTTAAAAAACCACATCTTCAATCAGAAAAGCAAAGGAAATAATGCAGAAATTCCTCTAAACATGGTTCAAAAAGAAACTTTTAGGAGAGAGGAAAACTTAAATTTCTTCATGATGTAGGAAGGAATGATGGCATGGTTCCTTCTAGGTATGAGAAAGAAAGGAACATGACTTCTGTCCCGCGATACATGATGAAGTATGCAGCTCCCTTTCTCCATTAGCCCGGCTACCCATTTTCTCGCAGTACAAGGGAAAGGGTGACCATGGGCACCTGTTGCATTCAGCATTAGATCTGTCTTGTTGGTATGGCTGAGTTATGGGTGGATTCCCCTCAGCTTGCTTAGAGCAGCGTTGTACCTCGGGTGCCATTAGGCATTGTGCCTGCCATTAGGGTGCTCAGAGCCTGGGGGCCTGAGTCTTTCTCCACAGTTACTTATAGCTGCTGTTCATTCCCCATTGCTGTTCAGACTGACCTTGAGCTCTGGAGCTCTTTCATCCCCCTAGGAATTCACTATAACAATGTTGCCACTTCTCCAGAAGCTTAAAGAGAGAGAGAACTCAGTCACAAAATGGCTTTACACTCTAAGACACCATGTTTGTGGAAGCACATTAGGCAAGATGCTACAATGGAGTCTTAGAGAGCCTGCCTTGGGAAGAAACACTCGCCTTCCTGCTAGGCTGGTGGTTCTGCCGGAGGACCTTCTGCCGCTACCTCTAAGTCAACAGCTCCAGAGAGCATCTCATTGCAACGGGGCCCTTTAGGGACCCTCACCCACCCCACTACAGGGCTCCTTCCGTGCAGTGTAGGGGCTGGCATCCTTTTTGCTCATGATGCCACATCCCAAAGTACCAGGTGGTGGAATGTGGCCCCGAGTTCTTTGACTTTCTGGGGTGAAGCTTGGTGGGAGAAGGGATGTGGGGATTGGAGGAAAAGTTAAAGAATTCCAAAAAGCAAGATACTCTCTGGAAAGTGGATTTGGCCATTTCAGTTTGATCCCCTTCCTTTGGGTGAGGGGCACAAGGCCTGCCCACTCTGCTCCTGCCTTGATCACCCTTCTCCCATTCTCTCTTCTCCGCTCTCCCCACGCCTCTCCCCCTGGACCCTGTTTGCATTTTCCTACTCTTCCATTCTGCTCCGCCTCATCCTCTGAATAAGCTGAACTTCTGCATGTTCAACCATGTGCTGGCAAACTTCATCTTTTAAAGACTCAAAAAGGGGGCATCAGGATGCATCTTCCAAATCAGAGAAGCAAAACAACAATCTCCCCCATCACCATCTTTCCACCTGAGTTTGGGGGAGGGGGCAGTATTCATGGGACAAGTGGAAATCCAGGGCATTCCTGGAACAGGGAATGGAGCCACCTCGCAGAGCTGACTCCTTTGCCTGAACCACTTTTTTTCTTTTAAGGATCCCTGTTAAAGACATTCTTAGGACCGTGGAGGAGTCCTACAGAATGACTAGTCCCTCTTCCCATGGAATTTGGCATCATTCCCTAGGAAAAAAAAACAAAACAGCAGCAAATGAGCCTTAAGGGACAAGTAGGGAGAGAGCAGGACGAGGGACAGGGGAATCCTTGCCCTTCTTTTTTGTCTCTGCATTTGACCTCTACACTTACTTTTCTTCCCTTCTCACCAGGGTTTCTTTTGATCTGTTTTTCTTCTCCTGCTGTTTCTCTTCTCTCTTTCACACAGAGACTGGTCCTGATGAACATGCCAGTGGCTGAGGACATGACCGTCCACTTCACGTCCACACTTATGGCTCTGATCCGGACAGCTCTGGACATTAAAATCGCCAAAGGTAGGTAAGCTTAGGAAGGAAAAAGATTCTGGAACAACTCACAGAGGGTGGTACAGGATGGAGATGTTTGAACGTTCATCCATCTGCCAGTGCAGTGACCAGGCAATCAGATAGTGGGGTCCCCATTTGTCCTGTGAGATGCAGCAACTATAATGTGTGTCCTTTCCCCCTGATGACGTGAATGGTTTGATAATCACAAAGGCTCCCTTCAGCGTTAGCAGTAAATGATCTTTGGTGTCTGGCATGTGGGAGGCATTTTAGAAATAGCTGCTTGTTGGACAGGTGAGTCTTAACTTTGTCCTCTTTTCCTTTCATGGCATCTTACCAGCTTGGAAGGCTCTGGTGGCAGGCACCATCAAGGCAGCACTTTGTTCTTCTTGATTTCTAGTCCAGTGGTTTTAAGAAAGAAAGGGTTTACTACTTCCAGAGGGACCTCCAGCTTCCTGCTCTTGCCTGCTCCAAATCCTTTTTAAAATCAGGTCACTCCGACTCTGGGAAGAACTGATGTGCGTCTGATGAGACAGAGGCGGCCCACCCTGTCTCCCTTCATTCCCCGCTCATAGAGTGAGCCCCTGGGACACTTGCTGAATGAATGAGGAGGCTGATCTGGGCCCCAGGGCTCAGACCTCTGTGGCAGGATGTCCCTGAGCCACTGAAAATGGGAGCCGGACCGTGTTCTGCTTCTTCAGCAGAAAGGCCCAGTACTGCCAGCTCCACTGTGCCTAAGCGCCAAGATTTCCTCGGAGAGCGCGAGAAGCCCACGCTGACTCAGCTCCTCGCCCCCCTCCCCCCTCGGTCCTCGTTATTTCCAGGTCTGTTCTCTTTTCGTTATGAACCATTTATCTGATCCTAGGTGGCGCAGACAGGCAGCAGCTAGACTCGGAGCTGCAGAAGGAGACCCTGGCCATCTGGCCCCACCTCTCCCAGAAGATGCTCGACCTGCTCGTGCCCATGCCCAAAGGTGTGGCGCCTCCTCCCGGGTACCCTTGTCCCGGTGGGCCCAGCGCACCGGGACTACATCTTTGCGGGGCAGGGGGGTGGGGTACAGAGTGATTAAAGAGATAAGGGGCACTCTTTCATTCTTAGGAAATAAAAGTCCTTCACTTCCTGAGCCCCTTTTGTCATTATTAATTGAAAACAGTGTCTTAAGAGAGGTCACTGAGGTTGGGGGTGAAACTTCTTGGGTGCATGACTGTCTATCCAGCATAACATGGGTCCGCAAACCTTCAAATGGCTGGGGAGAAAGTGGTGCTACAGGAGAGGGAATCCTGGACCAGTGTGGGGTGGTGCTTACTAGCGTGATGCTGACCACCAGTGTCATCCCCCTCGCCAGGTGGCCATGGCACTCCCTGAGGTTGCATATGGGGACCCTCAGTGTCTGGCCCGTATGGAACCCTCCATGAATGCTGGAAGGATGGGTGGTTGAAGGGGCAGACTTGCTTCAGAGGGGTCCTCACTCTCTCCCTCCCACCTGTCTTCTTCCTGTTCCCCTCCATGCCACATTTGTGTTTCCAGCCTCTGACCTAACCGTGGGCAAAATCTATGCAGCGATGATGATCATGGACTACTATAAACAGAGTAAGGTGAAGAAGCAGAGGCAGCAGCTGGAGGAGCAGGTGATGGTCAAGGACATCATGGCGGGTGGGTGGGCCCCTGCAGGGACAGGCCTGTGCATCCCTGGGGCACAGTGCCCTGCAAGTGCACAGAAGCAGAGGTGAGTTGTTGCAGGGTCCAGGAACTTTCTAGGATCAGGGGATTAGAAACCCAGGGGGAGCAGAGGTTCAAACAGTCAAACAAGGTATCAGTCACATTCCTGTTTTACTCAAGTAAATGGTATTGCCCCCCGCCACCCCCAGCAGACCCCACAGTCATTTGAGTTTCTTTTCTCTTCTTTCCCTTTTAACACAGAAAAACGCACCCATGTTCCAGCGCATGGAGCCCTCATCTCTGCCTCAGGAGATCATTGCTAACGCCAAAGCCCTGCCTTACCTCCAGCAGGACCCCGTTTCAGGCCTGTGAGTATAACAGGGCCCTCGGGGGCCGACGGGTCTCCCGCCAGCCTCGCCACCCGTGCCGGTGGGCAGGCCCAGGAAGTGCCCGGGAAAGACTCCTAACTCTGAGATTCATGGATGATCCCGCCTCTGACCTTGAGAAGACAGCATTTGGTACCTTAAAATGGTCATTCAGCAGGGACAGCAGAAGAGCAGGCTAAGCCTGTGTGGTGCCGTGGCCAGCTCAGGAGACGGCGAACTCTGCAAACGGACAAAGGAGGAAGGGGGTGTATTGGCATCACCACTTTACAGTGAGGAACTAGAGACTCAGAGAGGTTAAACTAAGTTGCCCAAAGCCACGTGGCTCGTAGGCAGCTGAACTGGAATTATTTCCAAGCCCAGAATCTCCCTGTTACATGGTATTATCTGTGGTGAACAAAAGGAACCTTAAATCAGGCAAAACATTTTTTTTTAATTTTCTATATTGAAAGTGAAAAAAAAAACACCTTAATTAAGGAATTTGCCAAGGCCATTAGCCATCATGCAGTCTCCGTTATAATATACACACCTCACTGTAGCACTGTCCTTCTATTAGCAGCGGCATGTAGGGAGTACCCAAAGGGCGTGAGGCCCTCCGCCCAGTGTACATGACTTTTTGTGGTTGGTGACTGCTTGCCAGTCCTAGCTCTCATGGAAGCAGTCACCACTCAGTATCACAACTTCGGTAATTATCAGAGGAGTGGAATCCCGGGCTCGGGAATGAGACTTTGGTCAGAATACCGTTTGGAATCTCTCGCACCATGAATTTCTGCCCGTGGTGTTGGAGACCTGTTTTAGAAAAGCATTGCTTTCAGAGGCCACAATCCAACACAGAAGGAAAGGACCAGAGTCCTGACCAAGGCTGTTGGTCATTTTTACAAACCTGTGGTGTGACGAGGTAGCACGCTGTGGATGCTTTGTCTGTGGGAAGCAAATAGATGATTCTCTTTGATCTGTGCAGGAAGGAGGTCAAGAGGGAAGACTAGAGCAGGACCACTGCCTCCTTGGAAGAGTTCACAGTGCTTTTCAGGGGTCTTTGGCTTAGAAATAGAGGACACCCTCCCCCATCGAGATCTGTTTTATCCACAGCAATTTGCTGTGCAAATTAACACCCACCACTGGACCATCCCAGCGTCTCTCCCATATATTTATTGATTCATTTACTCATTGATTTGACCAACAGTTACTGAGAGCCAATGTGACCCAAAAGCTGGTTCAGGCACTGGGGAGTCAGTGGCCAACATGATCGCAGTCCCCATGGACGCAAGAGTGAGAACAGTTAAAATGTGGAAGGGTAGGTATTGTGATGCCGTGTAAAGGAGGCAGCAGTTTGAGGACGCTTCCCTGAGGAAGTAACACTGGAGCGAGACTCAAAAGCAAATACTTCAAGAGAGGTGAGAGAAAGTGTTTAAGGAACCTAAAAACTGTCAGAATGGTTGGTGCAGAGAGAGATCAGGGGAGATGGCAGGTGATGGGTCTGGAGAGCTACCTAGGGGCCTGGGTGTAGGGACACAGAAGTTTAGTTTCATCCAAGGATAATGGCTGACACGATCATCAGTGACATGAACAGATCTGGGCTTTCCAAAGACCCCTCTTTTTTCCAGAGTGGACTCAGTGGATGGGAGGGAGGCAATTTGGGAGACAGAACACCATTTCGTAAGTGACTGCAATTGTGTAAATTACTAATAACTGTGGCTTGGACTAACAGGATAGAAACAAGGAGAGACCGTCAGACTTGAGAGGTAATTAGTGCATAGAATGGATAGGAGTTGGTGATTGATTTGCTACATGGCGTGGAGGAGAGGGAGGAATAAAAGATGACCGCCCGTGTTTCTAGTGCCCTGTATCACTCAGGTAGAGAGTGCACCGGGGGTCCTGTGGACAGGGCTCCTCTCTCATCGCGTTTACATCTGGTAGACATGAAACAGAATTATCAGGAAGAAGAAAACTTGTCATTTTTGATGAGTTAGTTACAGTTCTTCTAAGTGCTAGTCTGACCTGAGTGCATGTGAGCAGGAACTCTGCTCAGTTCTGGTGGGGGGAGATGTCAGGATTTCCTTAAGGAAGTCACTTGATAAGAATTTTAAAGGAAGAATTCAAAAAAGAAAGAGCTTGCATGGGCCAGGGAAGTTAGACACATTCTGTACTCTGGGAATAGCCTTTATTCAAGCCCTGAGGCAGAAGGAAGCCCGTAAGAGAGTCCAGCACATTGGCATTCAAGGAGTCAGGGAAAGGGATACAGGATACAGGCAAGGCTGGCAAGGTGGTACCCACATCATGAGAAGGGCCAGGGTCAGGTCTCCAGACTCCATCCGAACAACAATGAGAAGCCAGACAAGGTTTTCAGAGTAAGAGGTCACTCAGGGTTCCAGTTATTCAACTCTCTGAGGTCACTCAGTGATTTATAGAGCCCTTGCTACCGACTGGGGACCCTGCAATTATTCATTTTCTGTAGGACAAAAAGGGACCCATTTCTTGGAGAGCAGTACTCATCTTCCCAGTGGTTCTCAGGCAAAGACACGCTGAGGAAGGTGGTTGTGATACTGACATTTAAGCCAACATTTAAATATCACTTTGCTCTCTAGCAGTTGTAAAAACCCAGCTAAAGCCCTCACGGGCAGCAAGGGGACAGGTTAGGGGAAAAACTTCAGCTTTTTCCCTGTGATCCCAGTCTAAGTAAGCTTGAAGCTATGGATTATTTTTAAGTAACTGGAAATCCTTGCTCATGCCTCAGATTCTCCACTGGATTCACAGTCACTAGCAGTGGACTGTGCAGTGGCTCTCTCTGGGACACTGGCAGAGACGGTGTCCCATCTCGCTCTCTCAGCTCCACACCCACTGAGAGTTGCTGCCCAGGCACTGATCCCTGTGCCCGCTCCCAGGATCAGGAAGCTGGGTCTGCATTCGTGCCTCGGTCAAAGGGTGCCTGTCCTTGTAGCAGTGAATGGCAGCAGCTGACAAATACTCGGGCAGGACTGGCTGCTTTTTTTTTTTTTTCCTAACCAGCCCAGTGGATCCCATTGGCTAAGGGTGTCTGCAGGAACCAAATAGTGATTTAATAACAGGTATACTGTGATGACAGCTCTCCATCCTTTTCATTCAAAGGCCTCTAAAATGCCGTATGATATCGCTTATATGTGGAATCTTAAAAAACAAAAAGGACACAAATGAACTAATTATTTATAACGTAGATGACTGATTTCTTGAATATGTGCAAGCACATCTGACTGTCCTTTATGACTGGAGTGCTGCGTTCTGTTGATTCTTATTTTGTGGTTGGCTTTATTCCTTTGATAACTAGGTAAGTTTAAAAAGCTAAAGCTCTAAACTGTTCTTAGAAACAATGAAGAGTACATATATGTAAATTTTTAAAAAATATGTTCAGTATATGTATGTATTTACATGCAATATATTGCATATTTGCAGTCAAAACAGAAAGTCCTCTAAAGGCTTGGCTAACTTGGTCCCTGTCCTTTTACCGCATCACCATGTAAGCATCCCCCTGCCTAGCCATCAACCCCAGAGGCTGTCACCTCAGCATCACCTCTGAAATCATTCCACCCAGTTCATAACCCAACAGACACAGCGCCTGGTAGAGTAATCCCTTCAGTAAATGTTCATGGCATTGAATTGTTTAGTTTGGCCAGGGATGTTGGCACAATAAAACCATATTCTTACTGAGAGTAGAGGAAAATTTTTAAAAGACCATGACTGCTTAATATTTAAACAAACTGTTCACTGTTTAAACCCTGGCATTTTTCCGCCAAATGGAGAAACTGAGCAGAAACTGGTTTACAATCTAGCACTGGTCTTCCATATGGCTGAGTGTGACAAATGATGTCATTTGTCACAGATATGCTGGTCGCCAGCAGAATGATGAGTGGTTCCAAATGCAGGTTGAAAACAGTGGTTTCTCTTTTCCAGTGCTGTATTTTTTTTTAAATTTTCTATTCTAGGGCTAGCCACCTGTAAGTTACCAGGCTTACAAGCCAGCCAAGGCTAAAGGATGTTGCCTTTACTGGGAAGGAAGTCTTGTCTGGGTGGGAATTAGTAGCGGCACCTACGTCATGACTGTTTCTCTCTCACTTGCTCTCATGCACACATCACCTCTGAACCTGGCATTGCTTTGCAGGAGTGGCCGGAGTGGATACCCTTCGATGAGTCCACTCTCCCCGCAGGAAATATTCCAGTTGGCTTGTATGGACCCAGCCGATGATGGACAGTTCCAGGAACAGCAATCTCTGGTGAATGAATGAGTTACATGACCTCAAAAATACTTCCTTGGTTTCCTGATCCCTCCCACTCTCACTTTCAAATTTTATTTCATAGCCATGATCCACCAGAAAAAGCCTTTCTGATAGTTCAACCAATTACCCTGGGCGTTACCTGCCACCTGCCCTTTCATAGCGGAGTCTCATGTACTCTGACAAATGCTCCCTCTTCAGATCCTACTGCCCCAGACCACCCTTACCTGCTGCAGGAACTCATGCTTCAGGTCAAGCCCTCTTGATTTACACCCCTGTGCATTACATGGAGGAGCAGAAGCCACAAATAAAATCTTGCCTTTGATAAGGAGCCTTAGGATGAATCACAAGAATGAGTGGCACCAACCGGGCAGCTTCACAGAGAACAAAAATGCCACCCGCCAGCCCCTTAGCTCCGCTCACCTCCTGGAGAACTCATGGGTAGCACATAAGAATCTCGGTCCTCTGCTCAGTGTGGGTTCAAGCAGACTGGCCCTTTTGGTCCTACTTCTAAAAGGGCAAATACATTCTGAGAGTTCCCTGAAATCACTCTCTGGAGTCTAAAGATTTTCATGAGCAGAAATGGTGAAATTCCTGAGAACTCTCTTAAATGGAGTGTAAACTTAGAGACAAGAGGGCAGATGGAACTTTAGATTTTGCTGATCCAAAGCCAAAACATGATTCCCAGAGATGATGGACTTTATTATTCCTAGTTCAGGAGCTAAGGAATAAAGTTCCCTCCTGAGCTTAGCGGCAAAGCCCAGGTGTTCACTGGCTGGAGAGAGAAAGGGTAAAACCTGGCCTTTGCAATCGAGTGTGCAGCCCGCTTGTACTGAGTGAGTTCCATGTCATTTTGATTCTAATTCATCTGTGTTCTTCTCTCCCCTTCTTTTTTCCTGACCCTTCCCCACTGCTACTGTGTACCCCAGAGCCTTCCTGAATGGACATGTGGGGGGCGTGTGGGCGTGGCCTGCTCCTGGGGGGCTTGTCTGATGGAATGGGTACCCTTCAGAGGGGAAAAAGCATTTCAGTCGCCCCAGCAAATGAGTGATTCCATGTCCTGTAGCTGACAAGACAGGGACTTGTGCGTGGTCATGCTGGGGAGACAGACCAGGCCCGCCCCCCACCTCGGATGTGAGTAGTTACTTGAGCGCATTCTTGGTAAGGTGGATAAGAGTCCTTGGAGTAAGTCCCTGCCTTCCTCTCTGCGGAACTTAGCTCCAAGGCCCAGGGACTAACTGGCACAGATAGTTTAATTCTTAACAGGGCCCCTCAGTATTTGTTGGCTTGCCTGGCGATGTGTCTGGTGGGAGAAGCCTCAATAATGTGTCCTTTCTCTCACAGGGAGGCTTTACTGCCTCATCCCTTCTGCAGGCTCCCCAGGGCTGAGCCGTAGTGCCAGGACTTCTCGGCTGTGTGTTCATCTCGTTGTCAGTACTGGTGTCTGTAGTTCAATCCAGGTGTCAGCCCGTGCTGCACACTCACCACTGTGTACTCCTGCCCATCCCCTGGGGCCCCTGCTCCACGTGCTGGGCCACGGCCATGGCTTGTGTGTGCGTGGGTGTCTTGTGCCACCTCTGACACCCACAGACTGCAGTGTTGTTACCATGTAAACTGCAGCGTCACATCTGTGTCGAGTCGGACCTGTGTGCTCTATAAAGCATACACTGCAAAAACACTGTACCTTCCTCAGGTGCACACATCACATGTCCTGGGAAGGGACTCCTCCTGTTCATGCCAGGAACCACTCAGCCAAATGGTCATGGATGGATGCCAAGGGGATGTCTCAGGCGCCCTTTCCTTTAACAGTGCCCTACTCTTATGCCCATGTTGCTAGGCTACCATTTCCTAAACATAAAATAGCTTTTCTTTGGTGTCATCTCCAGATGTCCAAGATATTCCTAGGTCTCTTTGTTGGGTGGCCATGCACACGTTTTTAAATCAGCTCTATTCTATAGAGTGACACTGGCTATCTAGATAGAGCATGTACATTTGCCAAACTAACATTATTTAGCCAAGAAAATTAAATGATTTGGGTAGGACCTTAGAGATTTCCAATCCAGTCTACTTAAAGCTCTCAACTTGCACAGACCAGTACAGTAGCCATTGCCCAGATGTGGTGACTGAGCTCTTGAAAAGTGGCTAGTCCAAACTGAGCTGTGCCCTAAGTGTACAATACATTCCAGTGGCAAAGGCTGGGTACCAAAAAATGCAGCTCATTAATTTTTTTAATATTGATTGCATCTCACCATGAGAATATTTGGATAGATTGGGTTAAATAAAATCTATTATTAAATTTCATGTTTCTTTTTACTTTTTAAGGTGTAATCACTAGGTGATTTAAAATTACCTAAGCGGTTTGCATTCTGTTTCTACCGTACTGCACTAGTCCAGAGCATTCCTGGAAGATGGCCACCCACTCCCTTTTTTGGATGCTTTTTATCATCAGAAACCTCTTAAGAATCACATGTCTTAAGGTTTGAGAACATATATTGGACATCCGAAATTGGTGACTTCCCTTAAAAAATGGTTTCTATGTAATTGGCAGATGGCTTCTACAGATTGAAAGACTAAACCCAGCACTACCAACTCTCAAAGCAAGTTTCACAAAGCTGTAGAATCTAAAGCACTGCTTAGCGATAAATAAGGTCCTTGCAGTCCTGGTTAGTGCTTTCTGTTCGGGACATCTGGTATAGCATGCATGTGCACACCGACACAGACAGACATACACATACAACCGAGACCTTAAAGGTGCAAGTCTCTCTTCTAAAAGCCACTCTTCATATGGAGGAGGCAGAATCACCCACTGGAAGTGAGAAGCAATGAGATGGAACCAAGTCCCACAAGCTTGGCTGTGTGTTTATTTCTAGGAGCCAGAGGTTAGTGAATTAGAAAGCGCGCAGCCCTCTAACCATGGCATCTACCTTCCTTCGGACACCCAGGAGCATGCGGGATCGGGGAGGGCGTCCTCTATGCCACGCCTGACTATGGATCCCCAGGTAAAGAGCAACCACCACCTGCCACGTGCAGTGGCCTCCTGGGCTGCATGGAACTGGTGGGTTATGAAGAAACAGCTGACATTTTCAGGTGATCCCTTGACTTGTCCCCGACCCCCTTCGCTATAAGCAAAACCTGGCTCATGGGCCTTCTCTCCAGAGCCTGCTCCTCCCCATTAATGAGGCAAAATGGCGCCCCCCCCTGCAGATGGGCTTAACGTCAAGATCCAGCCAACCATCGCAAGAAGTGTTTCCCAGGACTTCCCCTGCGTATTTCCCCTCCTTTCCTCCCCTCCTGGCCCCTCTAGCACGTAGGCAGTTACTTACACACACAGCTCTGTGTCAGGACTGTCTGTCCTAACCGGTGCAGGCCACGCCTCATTTCTTTGTCTGTTTTCCTGGCTTCCTTTTTTTTCTGTCTGTCTGTCTTACGTCGAGTTTTGACAGAGACAAGAAGTTTTTGTGGATCTGTTTGAACATCTGTGGCACCTCAAGGTGCCAGAGTTGAAGGCGGAGCAGGGGTGGGGTGGGTGATGGAGGGACAGCAGTGCGTCCGCAGCAGCTGTTCAGTCAGTTACACGCTCGCCACAGCTCTAGCGCGCCAGGGCGGGGCCCTCCCCTCCCCGGGGAGGGCAGACTGCAGAAGGCAAAGCCGTGCTCGTTTCTTGGTGTAGACATTTTGACAGCTGCCCTCACTTAGTTCCAAGTGGCTCCAGGTTCACGGCAGGTTCTGGCCAAGTCTCTGTGGTAGACGGCTCAATGAGGGGCTTGCATAGAACACTCTGCTGCTTGCTTTCCTGAGCCTGAAGAGATGCCCTGCACCAGCCCAGTGACTCTGTTAACAGACATTTTCTGGAAGCGCCTCCCCAGCTGAGGTCTGAGCGAGAGGGACTGGAGGGAGGTTACAGTTTGCATCCTTTAGCAATCCCAGTCCCACTCCTCCCTGACTTTTAGATCCTTTCGGTAATTAATCCGGACCTTGTGTTCCTCGGGGGGGCTCCTGTTTCAGGTGGTGACGGACCCTAGCTCCATGAGACGCTCATTTTCCACTATCCGGGACAAGCGTTCAAACTCCTCGTGGCTGGAGGAGTTCTCCATGGAGCGAAGCAGCGAAAACACCTACAAGTCGCGCCGCCGGAGCTACCACTCCTCACTGAGGCTGTCAGCCCACCGCCTGGGCTCCGACTCCGGTGAGGGGCTCCCCCCTCACCCCTCTTGGGGGCTGCTTCCCTGGCAGGCTGATTCTGGCAAGAACTGAAAATCACTGGGGTGGAATCCAGATCAAGACAGGGTCGCGGAGAGTGAAGGCTGCTCCTTCACAAAGGGGGTCCTCTCTCTGACTCCCATCCTGAAACAAAGCAACAAAACCCCCATCCTCATCACAGAGGCTCCGGAGACACCTTTCCTCCAGGGGAGGGCCACAGAAATCATTAAAACAGGCAGTTTCCAGTGGCCATCTGCAAAACCACGGGCCACGGTGATGCTCCCAGCGCCCCTGGCAGGCTGGGCTTTGCTGCCAACGCTACTTCAACCCAGACAGCGCTGCCTGGGATCGCTTTGTCTTTGAGTTTGTTTTTTTTTTTAAGGAAAAGGGTCATATAGAATATCATGAGTCTGGCTCAAACTCTTTACTACGTGAGGGAACAAAGCTAGAAAAGCAGTGACATGCCCTGTGTCACAGCACCCGTAAGTGACAGAAATGGGACTAGAAGTGAAATCCTTTGACTTCAGTCCCAGGGCATTATGGCAACTGTCATTCCTTTGTTCGTAGCAACTTCTTAATTCCTTTCTCCTGGTGCCATCTTCCACCCCAAAATTACACACTCATGTTTAGGACCCAGAGAATTCCTGGGCCACGTTGCTGGCAAAGAGTCTGCTTCATGATGTCTAGCATAAATGGAAACACAAGTGAACAGTTGCATCACTAGGTGCACGAGTCTCTCCAGTGGCAACCTGCACACTTCCCTCATCACAAAAGGGTAATATTCCAACCTTCCTCTCCTGCCCCGCTTTCCAATCACTTGTTGGCATGTCCGCAGAGGCCAGGGTCCTGGAGGGGCCTAGTTCCAGGCTGTAAGACTTGTCTCTCGGTTCAGCGGCCAGGGTGGGCGGAGCTATGACCAGCTGCTTTTGTCATCTCTCACAGGCCACAAGTCCGACACCCACCGCTCAGGAGGCAGAGAGCGGGGACGATCGAAAGAGCGGAAGCACCTTCTGTCCCCTGACGTGTCCCGCTGCAACTCTGAGGAGCGAGGGACCCAGGCAGACTGGGAGTCCCCAGAGCGCCGTCAGTCCCGGTCTCCCAGCGAGGGCAGGTCACAGACCCCCAGCCGACAGGTGAGTGTGGGGAGTAAGCGGCGTCTCAGCAGAAAGACGGGAAGGCACGGGCTTTTAACATTAGGTGCAAAACCTGGGCATCCTGCACCCACACAGACCTCAGTGTCAAGGAAACTACGTCCACTGTGCAGAGAGGTTAGCTACTTAATGCCTGTGTGCTCAGAAATACGAATTCACAGAAAAGCAGAGCCCCCCAAGAAAGACAGTGGTGTCTAGGGGAGCATTTCGTCTCTGTCCTCAGATCCAGAGGCACAAAGTCACAACAAGTAAGTTCACAAATACCTCAGGCAGATTTAAGAGGAAAGCTTTGTCTTTTTTTTTTTTTTTCAGCCAGGAAAGTCTCTTTGACCTTAGTATAGGTTAGAACAGTTTTTCATCCCTCAGCATAGAATTCCTAAGTCAGATCAATTTAACTTCCTTTTGGGACGGCTGGAAACTAGACAAATGAAAGCCATCTCTCCTTCTGGCCTGTGGCTGAAGCAGGAGCCTGTGTCTAAGAATAACTTCCAGAGCGGAGTGCAAACATTCTCTGGCTCTGTTTTTTTGTCCCCACTGCCATCCCTGCCCGACATCTCAGAGCCCTGCTGGGAGGCCCCACTCACCCGTGGTGAGCAGTGGGGACGAGTAGCCGACACTCAGAGGCAGTTGAGACGTTCACTTCCAGAGCAGTGGTGTCAAGTTTTAGTGCAAAACAGAGTCACCAAGGGCCTGTTGTCACTGCACATTCCTGGGACCTCAAGGCTCCTGCTTCAGCAGTGAGACCCACTGGAGAGTGGAACCCACAAGTCTGCACTTGGAGAGACCCCAGCATTTCCCAGGCGATCTCGAGCAGGTGGTTCCTAGGTCACACGCGCACCTTGAGAAAACACCGTCCTGGAGGTCCATGTACTCACACCCAAGTCAGGGGCTCTTGGGAATAGCTGAGCAGGTCATGTAAGGCCTGAACTGGCAGATGAGTGTGTGTTGTCGAAGCTGCGTTAGCCTCAGCAAGCGACTGGCAACACGGATGCAAAAGGAGAAGAGGGAAGCCCTTTGCTGCTCCCTTAGATCCAATTCCCAAGAAAGTTCCCCAGACAGAGCAACTCTAGAGCCTTCTATCACCTTTCACATAGCTGTCTTGCCCCAAGGCTGAAGGCTTTCTTTCGGGGTGCCCCGTGCTATAGAGAGAGGGCATCCACATCCTTGCTGCTCAACTCAGCGTGTTTGGTCCGTGGTCCAGCAGCCCCTGGGAGCTCGTTAGAAATGTAGAATCTCAGGCCCCACCCAGGTCAGACTGTCTGACCCGCATCTGCGGTTTAACAAGACCCCCCAGGAACATGTAGGCATATTGAAAGTTGACGTGCCCTGGTCTCCATGGCACTGACTCCTCAGTCTCCTTTAATCTCTGCGTCCCTGAGCGGATGTGAGCGAGGGGACTCTGGTGGCTCTCTGTAGGAAGGGTTAGGAACCTTCACATGGTCCCAAGTAGGGACAAAGCCAAACCCAGTCTAACATGCCGTGTTTCTCCCGCCACACAGGGCACGGGGTCCCTGAGCGAAAGCTCCATCCCCTCCGTCTCTGACACCAGCACCCCAAGAAGAAGTCGTCGGCAGCTGCCCCCTGTCCCTCCCAAGCCTCGGCCCCTCCTTTCCTACAGCTCCCTGATGAGACACAGTGGAAGCATCTCCCCACCTGCTGATGGAAGCGAGGGTGGCTCCCCACTGGCCTCCCAAACTCTGGAGAGCAGTGACGCCGGCCTGCCTGAGTCTTCCAATCCGCGGCACGCGCCGCAGGGCCTGCGCCCCTCCCCACAGCGCTACATCTCCGAGCCCTACCTGGCCCTGCACGAAGACTCGCACGCCTCGGACTGCGGCGAGGAGGAGACGCTCACCTTCGAAGCCGCCGTGGCTACCAGCCTGGGCCGCTCCAACACCATCGGCTCTGCCCCGCCCCTGCGGCACAGCTGGCAGATGCCCAACGGGCACTATCGGCGGCGGAGGCGCGGGGGAACTGGACCAGGCATGATGTGTGGCGCTGTCAGCGACCTCCTGAGTGACACGGAAGAGGACGACAAATGCTAGAGGCTGCTCCCCCCTCCGATGCATGCTCTTCTCTCATGCGGGGAAAACCAAGACCCGAATTGGGAAGCCGGTGCGGCCCGGGGGGGAGGAAGAGGGAGGAAGGAGACGGATGGAAGGACACGGTGCGCTATCAGAGAAGAGGAAGGAAAGGATGAGAGGAACACCAGTCCAGCCCACCGAATCGCTTTGTTTCCCTGTGCAGGATGGGCACTGCCATAGTTCTGCCTCTCTGCTGGGGAAAGAACACACAAGAACACGGAGGGTTAGTCCCAGGGGAGAAGGGACACGAGGATGGCTTTGCTTCCCCTTGCCCCTGCCCACTTTTCTACAGCCCAGGCAGGACCGAGCCGGCCTGCGTCCACGCCCGTTGCCCTGAGAAGCCTGGAAGACTTTGTGGCTCTTAACTGAGGAGTCGTGAAGACGCTAGGAGAGGAACCTTGTCCCCTACCAGCTCGTGTTCCTCAGCCGGTGCCACTGCCACCAGGGTGACTGCAGCAGCATCTCATGTGTGACCCTGCGGCTTGCTTCCGCCAGAGAAGCACAGGCTGAGTTCAGGATGCCAGGGGTAGGAGGCGGGGAGGGAGGAGGAAGGAGAAGGCCTCTGGTGCTGTGGCGGCAGCAGCGAGGGCTGGTCTGGATGAGCAAAGCCATAGTCCGGCAGCCCATGCCGTAGAGGAGGGGACCAAAGAAGCAGAGAGTCGGTGGTGCTGGGCGGGGCCGTCCTGTCAGCCACTCAGGCTAAGGAGGTCCCCTGGGGTCCACAGAGGTGCCTGAGGCTCTGGTAAGGGTGATACTGTCAAAGGATTTAACAACCTGTGTAACCAGGCCACCAGCTGACGAGAGTGGGATCCAGCCTCAGTGCTGGGGTGCCATGCCACGGCGGGCCTGAGCCTTGGAGACGCTGGCCGTGGAGCAGCCTAGGGTAGGGTGAGTGTGGCACTTAGGGGGCTCCAGGCAGAGTCCGTATTCCAACCAGCAGAGAAGTGGTCCAGTATGTGGAACAGCATCACGGCTACCCCAGCACACGCCGGCTGAGTGTCATCCCAGACTCTGGTCCAGGAGGCAGAGGGCCTCTCTGCCAAGCGGCAAGGCCAGTGCAGCCGAGTGCCCGTGGCCTGGCCACTCCCCAAGAGGGCAGCACACATATCCAAGGTGGACTACGCACCACCTGGTAGGGACTTCCATAGAGATGGGAGAGGCCGGCAGATCGAAACGAGAGAAGCTGCAGAGAGAGAGGCGGTCTGGAGGGAGGGACCTCGGTCTGGCAGCTTCTGCAGCTGGTTTGTGGTTGAGGCTCAGCAGGTCAGGGGACTGCAAGGTGATTAGTAAACATACCTCAGCACAGACGCCAGCTGCTCTTCTAGCAAAGCTGGCTTGGATGGGCCTCAGCGCACAGTGTGACAGACCTGGGCCTTATCCCTGCCCCGAGTAGGCACTGAGCAGGAGACAGCCTCAGGACATCATTCCTAACCCCCAAAACTCAGATGCAGGGAGAAAAAGAGAGCCCTTTCTTGGCTGATCAGCGCTCCTTTTTTTTACGTAGATTGTCCGCTCAGTAGACACACACCATCCCCTAGGTCCCTCTCCATCCCCAGCACTGTCACTGAGGTGGAAGGTTCTCCTGGAGCAGGGACCAGGCAGGGCCCCCCTTTCCCAGCCAGGAGCAGATGGAGCCCACCTCACAGAGCCCTCCCTGGGGAGGATCAGAGGTCCCCGGCCTGACCTGGCAGGGGATGAGCAGTCTGTACCCTCCTCCAGCCCAGACTCCACCTCTTGGGTAGGGGCAGTCGGTGGCCATTATTTTTCTAAGAAGGAGCCTCTGTTTTCTTACAAAGTTGGTTTTTTTGTTTTGTTGTTGTTGACATAGAAATAAGGCATAGCTGTGTCAGCTCTGAAAAGTCAAGTTCAACCCTGTGGCTGCAGAATCCTTTGAGATGGCCCTGCCTTCTAGACATTGATGGGGCTGAATTCAGGACCCACTGTCAGCCCCCAAACCAAAGTTATTCTGGGGCAGGAGACCAGGGATGCAGAGACAGAGGCCTCCTGCTCTCAAACCCTCTTCCCTTTTCACTTTGCCCCCCGACTCAGCACACGTGTGCTTGGGGTACCCGGGAATGCAGTCTGTGACACCTGAGCCTAACAGGCCTAATGGTTGCACAAGACTCAGATTCTGGGCCTTGTACTGTCTCAAAGGTTCCCTCTGCTCAGCGTCATTTCACGCCAAAGTGCTGCCCCAGGCTGCTTTGTGTGCGCAGAACTGCTTGCTTTCACCTCGGAAATGCAGCTTTCCCAGGGGACAGGCCGACTACAGGGGGGCCGTTCTGCGCCGGCCAGAGTCTACCGCCTTGTGTTCTGAGCGAGGGAGTGTGAAGTGACACCTTACGCCGTTGCACCAGGAGGAATTCAGGCTGGCAGAGCAGTTACCAGAAGTGGAATTTGCCTGCACACAACATTACAAACATACTACAAACACAAAATCTACCACGCCGGGAAAGCTTCCCGGACACCTGAACTCCTTAAACACGCGCGCGCGCGCACGCGCCGGGGTCCTGAACAAAGCGGCGGGAGTGTGGGTGCAGCCCTCGGCCACCTGGGCTCCTCTAGCGCTCGTGAACCTATGAACTCATCTTATTCAACTTCCCCTGACCAGCACATCGGGTTTCTTATCCTTTAGCCTGCATTACCCTCCTATTAAGGCCGGAAAATCAAAGGCAATTTTCTGTTAAGTCACGGAACTCATTAGCATAATCTTATAATGGTTTCCTTCCGCCTCTGAATAAATAGGAACCGCGAACGCCCCTCTAATAGCCGACTGCGAGATCCAGTCCTAGGTAGGAGGTTCTGACTTTTTCCCTTGAAAAGAGGCCCCCTTAAAACCCCAAAACCTGTGCTTCTCTTGGGATTACAAAGTTTGGCAGCAGCTTGAGAAATTGCAAGCGAAGTAGGACCAGTACCAGGGTTGGATTTCACACTGAGCACCGTAGGCCCCCTGAAGAATCTTTAGCTCCAGGCCCAGTTTCCGTTGCTAATATGAGTCTTCAGAGTCCCCTCAAAACCAAACAGAGGGAGGTGGTGGGGAGGGGAGGGGAAAAGAAGGAAGGAGGAGAAGAAAGCAAGGCAGAGAGACGTTCTAACTAGGTTTGTGTTTAGACAGTCCTCTCTTCCCTTAAGCCTCCGTTCGGACTTATGGGGCGGGTGGGGGGCATCCATCTTTCTTTCTGTGTATGTGTGTCCCTCTCCCTGTCTCAGTCCCCGCGGGAAAGAGTGCCAGCAGCCCTTCAGACAAGAGGGGAGAGCTCCAGGCCAAGGTGCCCTGTGAGCTGGGGTCAGGGTACAATTACCGCCACTGTGAAGGGGCGGTACCCTTGAGCACCCCCCGGACACAACTGCCCGAGGTGGGGCTGTGTCCTTTCTAGTGGGGGAATCTATTTCTGTTGTGAGTTTCACATCTCCCCATGAGGGACTGAGAGCACTGATGCCACGTCTCTGCAGCTGACCTCCAGGTGCTCTGGATTTTGCCTTCCCTTGACTCTGGGACCACGAAGAGCAGACCCTGTGTTCCCTGACTCAGCCAGCACACATCCTGGCTCACGCCCTCCCTCACATCCACTTTGCGATGCACCTGAATGTCCTCTGCCCTCTGTCCTCCCAGCACAGCCCTTGTTTATGCTGCGAGTTAGCAATGACTCTGCTCCTGAGATGGTTAGATCCACCCAATCCAAGTTTACCTGCCCCGCCTTCCTCTGCTGGACACTCTGCCATTGCACGATGATTCATTCTCATGAAACACCACTGGGGACTCACCCAGTGATACTCACAACATGACCTGAAGTGGTGTAAGGTGCAGGACTGTGGCCGAAGTGTGTCTGAAGCGTCCCCATGCTCACTGAAAACCCACTGCAGGGAAATTAGGTCCCTCCTGGCATGATGGAACAAAATTGAATAATTTTGGTTTTTTAAAG